TTGACCACATTCAATATCAATTAAAGCCAAACGGTACTAAATAATCCCACTGTTTCTGCCACCGGGGTCCCATCGACAGGTGGATAGGTCGTCAAAATGGAGGGAAAACGTGTAGGCTATTTTAAAACTGGATTATGCATTTTGGTCGTAGTTTTGCTTCCTATGTTCTGTCATTTGATAGATAGATTTACACACTTTTGTCTGACTAGCCATTTTCTATGTGGAAATAAAGTGCACCATGATACAGCCTAATAAATTTGTCACTGATGTAAGCAACATTGACCATAAAATAAAAAATAAAAATAAAAAATCCGCCACTGAAAAACAAACTCATTTGAATAATTTGGTGAAGCCCTCTTCTCTAAATGTCAATGATTTGTTTTTAATTTCTGTGGACCTCTTAAATCCTATTAAGCATCATTTGAATTATTTCATTTGTTTAAAAAAAAAAGAAACCAACTTCCTATTTAAGCTATTAAAAATATTTATCTGTGACCAGTGCCGGTAGTGGTGTGAAAGATGGGAACATTTTCAGCAGCCAGCAGGTCCAAATTTCTAAATTGCATTTGTAAAAAGGAAAGAAGCACAGAATCCCAAGCTTTTGAAGTAAACCGGCTCTGAAATTCAAGAACAGACAAAGACAGTGAGAGAGGAAAGCAACACTCTAAAAATTGCTGGGTTGTTTCAACCCAATGTTGGGTCAAATATGGACTAACCCAACTGTTGGGTTAAAAAGTTAATTTAAAAATGTAACCAAAATTTAACCCAACAGTTGGGTTAGTCCATATTTGACCCAACATTGGGTTGAAACAACCCAGCATTTTTTAGAGTGAAGGACAGGAGAAAGGTTTATCACAGCTTTATCAAACAGGCACCTGACAGGATAATGGTCACTAACTCAATGTGTAATTATCAGAGAGCGGGAGGGTCAATCCCGTACGTATGCATTTATATGAAAAAAAAAGGTAGAATTTCTTTGCCAAAGATTATGTTTGCATGTGCATTTGAAAAAATCTGATTGATTCATTTGATCAACAACAAAACATATAATACTATCATCACACTTCTAATTTTTACCATTGTATTTTCCTCCAAACAAATGCATTATGAAGGTAAGGCTTTTAAATATTAATATTAAGAAATGTACTTCTGAACAGTAAAAGGCAAAAGAGGCTGAATGCAGGAAGGCAACAGAGATGTAGAAATGCATGGAGGAAAGAAACAGTCAAAAAGAGGAGGGGAGTGAATAAAGGAGCTGAGAGGGAAAAAGTGAGGCGAACAGAGGAAGAAATAAGATGGTGTAAGAGTGGATCAGAGAAAGAGAGAGGGGCGAAAGAACACGGGTGGAGGGAGGGATGTAGAGGCCCCTTCTCTGTAGAATCAAACCCCTCATGAATTAAACGCTTTAAGGCTCTGAATAGGAGGCACGTGCAGGAGGGCCTCTGAGAATAAAAAAACGCTCACCCCATCTGGCTCTTTCAGGGGGAAAGAGATGGGAACATTTTCAGCAGCCAGCAGGTCCAAATTTCTAAATTGCATTTGTAAAAAGGAAAGAAGCACAGAATCCCAAGCTTTTGAAGTAAACCGGCTCTGAAATTCAAGAACAGACAAAGACAGTGAGAGAGGAAAGCAACACTCTAAAAATTGCTGGGTTGTTTCAACCCAATGTTGGGTCAAATATGGACTAACCCAACTGTTGGGTTAAAAAGTTAATTTAAAAATGTAACCAAAATTTAACCCAACAGTTGGGTTAGTCCATATTTGACCCAACATTGGGTTGAAACAACCCAGCATTTTTTAGAGTGAAGGACAGGAGAAAGGTTTATCACAGCTTTATCAAACAGGCACCTGACAGGATAATGGTCACTAACTCAATGTGTAATTATCAGAGAGCGGGAGGGTCAATCCCGTACGTATGCATTTATATGAAAAAAAAAGGTAGAATTTCTTTGCCAAAGATTATGTTTGCATGTGCATTTGAAAAAATCTGATTGATTCATTTGATCAACAACAAAACATATAATACTATCATCACACTTCTAATTTTTACCATTGTATTTTCCTCCAAACAAATGCATTATGAAGGTAAGGCTTTTAAATATTAATATTAAGAAATGTACTTCTGAACAGTAAAAGGCAAAAGAGGCTGAATGCAGGAAGGCAACAGAGATGTAGAAATGCATGGAGGAAAGAAACAGTCAAAAAGAGGAGGGGAGTGAATAAAGGAGCTGAGAGGGAAAAAGTGAGGCGAACAGAGGAAGAAATAAGATGGTGTAAGAGTGGATCAGAGAAAGAGAGAGGGGCGAAAGAACACGGGTGGAGGGAGGGATGTAGAGGCCCCTTCTCTGTAGAATCAAACCCCTCATGAATTAAACGCTTTAAGGCTCTGAATAGGAGGCACGTGCAGGAGGGCCTCTGAGAATAAAAAAACGCTCACCCCATCTGGCTCTTTCAGGGGGAAAGAGTGAACCAGAAAGAAAGAGAGAGATCAGGAGAAAGCGGAAGATCAATCAATGGGCATGACATGGCGAGAAACCGGAGGAACAACAACCGAGCGTGATATATTTGGGGGTTTGTATGCGCAAAAATACAGTGTTAACTAGATGAAATGTTTAATGTTATTAACAAGAGGACCCAAACTTGAACCCAAGCAGGCACACAAACAGTTGTCGTCACCAACCTTTAATCTGTGAGCGACCTTCAGACACTTTTTTTTCCTGTGTCCCTCACCTTCTCTCACTTTCCCTTGTTGTACCCAGCATCCTGGCTGTTTCCATGACGACCGAGTAGATACTGATGGGGAAGAGGGGCACATTTGTGAGAGAGCCTGAGAGTTATTGAGGGTGGGACTCCACTTGATGGACATTGGCACATTTGAAATCCATCATTCATGACTTAATGGATGAGCTTTATAATTCTGCATGCACTGTATAACAATAGAAGCACAAGGTTATATTCATCTATAATACTCTAAAGAAACTTACACAGTACTATTAGATATGTTTGCCTCTTAAAGTCACCATGAATTCAAAATTGATCATATTTACATTTTTAATACAACACTTGTCAGTGCACTCTGTTCCAAAGAAAAGAAAAAAAAACACCGGCTTTGTATTTCATCAAAATGTTCAACAACTTTCCAATGGAGAAAATCAAATCTCGCTTTAACTTTTTGTCATGTCAATATTTTTCTGCAATTTGGTGCATTCGCTGATATTAATACGGCCAAAAAGTAAGGTGAAATTCTGATAGCTTGTAATGTAATTCATTGAGATCTTTATAAAAGTACAGACTACTTGCAAAAAATGCATATAAATAGCATTTGTCACTCTATATTCCCCATTTATATGCCTTATTAAGATATTTAAACCATGATCAAAGCTCATTAATTTTATTGTGGGAGGTAAAACATATAATGCAATGCAATACAATGACAATTGAGAGATGTGCAAATAAATGTTCCTCAAAAGCCTAATGTATCATATTTGATTTTAACATGATTTTTCTAAAAAATTAAAATAAATGATGTATGGAAATCAAGTAAACCTAGAGAATTATAGAATGATAAACATGGTCTTTTACTTGCTAAAAAAGTATAAACTATCAATCAGATGACAGAAGGTTTGTAGCATATTATGTAGAACAGGTTTTTCAGCAAAGTTTTGATAATGTTGAAATCAAATATACAGTAGGTTTCATTGGGTTAATTCCACTATTTTATGGTGCAGAGCTCTCAATGAAGAAAATGCAAGGAATTGGATACCGCAAATAACACTAATAATGCCTTTAATCATGTGCTTGTCAAGGCATTATTCAATCACAGATAGACTACTGCACCTCAAGTCCTCTCTGGTCCACCTGTATCTGCTGCACGCTCCTTCGAGCGCATCCAAAACGCTGCTGCCCGACTTGTATTTAATCTCTGGAAATTCTCTCAATTTCCGCCTTTGCTCTGCTCTCTACACTGGCTGCCAGTAACTGCACGAATTAAACCCAAGACACTGGTCCTAGCCTGCAATGCTGCCAATGGCCCATAGAACCATTACCTAAAATCCTTCATCAAACTCGTACACCCCCAGTCTGGTCACTGCGATCAGCCACTTCTGGTCACTTAAATCCCCTCGACACGAAGACTTCCTGCTCATCCAAGTCCAGAATTTTCCATCCATTTCTATCCTGGTTCCTCATTGGAACAAACTCCAAATATCAGACCAGCTGACCGGTTAAAATCAAAGTGTTCAGATACACCTTGACACGTTTTAGCCTAACTCTATGAACACACACACACACACACACACACACACACGGCTTTATATGAAACACTTTAAAAACTTCATCAAGCCACTAAGATTTAGTGCAAATTGATTTTGAGTAATCAACATTTATTGTGCATTGGTTTCTTACTGGATCCTTAGGCCAAAGCTTCATACACAGACTGCTGGAAATACAGCTTAAAATGGTGGCTGTGTTTTGCAACATGGCAACTAATTTCTAGCATGTAATTTTTTACTAACTATGCCAGCTTCAAGCTGGTTATACCAGTTTAAGGTTGACTTTGGAAAATGGTGGTTATTCAACTAGCCAATTACCAGTTTAGACCATAATCCAGCTACAAAACACAAGCTCAGTTGTCATCGATTGTCCAACATTTATCTGCACGCGACTCGAAAGTTGACTAGGGTTCGAGTCGTTTTTAAGAGGATAACGTCTGCTGACATCATGTAAACAAACATTTTATATAGGCTAATGTATATATTAACCTAAATGTAAATCTAAACAGTATTTGTTTTGGTAAGAGCCTCATCCAAGTCCCTAACCAACCTATTAGATTATTTTCTTGCAACAAAATAATTTCCATTTTATTGTAATCCCTCTTGACTGGAATACTAGAGTAGAATAATTGCGGAATAACTTTTCAAGATTACATCTTGTCAATGAAGCCCCATTTGTGTGGCAATCAGACATAAACGAGCATACGCATAAATGTGTAACATTATCACCTGGTTGAAAGGATGAACTCCGAACTGAAGAAACCATTTGAACCAAATCTTGACCGTCAACTCGGCCTTCAGACAATTATCAACAAGAAATCACATGATTTGGGGAGTTTGGTTGCCATCTAGCGGACGTGAATCGTTCTCCACAAGAGTCAACATCTTGAACGGTCAGACTCACCCAAAATAGCTTGTGGAGACTGTTGCGGTCTGAATTAAGGTTTGAATCCCCAACATACGGTGGCCGAGAAGTGCTAAACAAATCACAATTCTGAAAACAAAATAACAAATTACAAACGCAAATGCAAGTCTAAAAAACAAAATAACAATTCAGAAAGCACAACAACAATTCAGAAAACATTATAACAAGTCAGAAAACACAATGACAAATTCGAAAACAAAATAACAAGTCAGAAAACACAATGACAAATCCGAAAACAAATTAACAAGTCAGAACAGAAATTTGTCATTGTGTTTTCTGACTTGTTAATTTGTTTTCGGATTTGTCGTTGTGTTGTCAATCCGTGTATCATTCGATCATTCGTTTTTTTATTTAATATTGAAAGTAGAAAATTAGAAAAGGCTCCTTTTTTGTTTTTTCGTTTTTTTCCAAAAACCGAAAAACAAGAATTCAGCTTCAATTTTCGTTTTTCGTTCAGGGGTAGAAAAATGAACAAACAGCTTGAATATTCGATTTCTACACATGGGCGGGAATTAAACACCCCTTTCTGCTGATTGGTCAGCCGAAGATCAAACCGTGCCATCATCAGTTTTTAGATTATTTGACGTTAAATGCAAAGTCGCTTTTTTTTATCATGATACATAGGCCTACTGTGATTTATTCCAAAGTGACTTATATGATGCATTTAACGTCAAATAATCTAAATGAAGCCTTTTAAAAGTATTCGCTGTGGTTCATGTTTGTGGCATGTGCCAGAAAGATGCTCAAGGAGACCGAGACGTGCTAAAGCAGCGTATTCTGTTGTTCTCTTTATTTTTCAAAGGCATGACATCTTGTAGTTATTTTGAATGTAACGTTACACAATTAAAAATATACATTTTACCATAAAATCAAAAAACGAATGATCGAATGATACACGGATTGTTTTCTGACTTGTTATTTTGTTTTCTGAAGTGTTGTTGTGCTTTCTGAATTGTTATTTTGTTTTTTAGACTTGCGTTTGCGTTCTCGGTCACGTACTAACATGAAGTAAAAACAAATGTTTAGGGCGTCTTAAAAGTTGATTTCAGTATTATTAGTAACCGTAAAAGTTAGACAAAGTTAGTTAAAGTGCACGTACATGGACGCTCACGAACAGAAAAGTCCTTTGGCCTCAGAAAGTAACCATAGCAACAGTTAACCGCTCGAGAGCTTTTCGTGTCAATATGATTTTCATGTGTCAATATATTATAGATTTACATTTCACAAGTATATCTCAAAAAGTGTTCATACATATATAGGCCTAAAGAATATATACGAAAATTTTGTATGTATAAAAAAAAGCCTTATTTTGTGTAGGCCTACTTCGATCGTTCCTCAAATTCTTATAGTTTTGAAGAACAAAAGCTGATTTTAGCAACCTCAACTGATAGCAACTCATATGAGCCTTTGATATTATTATTAGAGGATTTAAACACAAAAGTTGAACTCTTTATTTAAATTGGACTGCTCTGGGAAAGAGCACCATTTTATGGAATAATCAAACCTCATGAAAATTAATCATGGTTTTATTGTACTAAAAATGTAGTAACCATGGTTTTTGGGTGGATTGATTACTATTTGTATAACCAGAATTCTACCACAAATACCATGTTTAAACTATGGTTAGTGTAGAAAAACCATGGTTAATTTGTGGTTCCATGTTTTTTTTTTGTTTTTGTGATCATTCCTCAAATTCTCATTAGCATAGCCGTTTTGAAGACCATAAGCTAATTTCAGCAATCTCAACTGATAGCAGCTCACACAAGCCTTTGTTATTATTATTATTATTAGAGGACTTACACACAAAAGTCACACTCTTCCCAGATAGCACACGTACGTCTCCAAGATGTCTGTTAAAGATCGCTTCATCTGGAAAGCATCGGCTGTGTACAAACATCTGATAGATGTCTTTTAAGATGTCAGTTTTACATTCTAAATCATAAACATCTTATCAAGACATTTTCTAAACGTCTATTTGACATCTGATAGGAAACGTCCTATAGATGTATTGCAGACGAGCAAAAATACGTCTTGCAGATGAGGTCAAATAGACGTCTCCGTGATGTACTTGTGCTATCGGGGTTTATTTGAACTGGACTGCTCTGTTGTGGCAAAGAGCACCATTTTATGGAATATGTATAGTCTGTTATTGTGTGTATGAAGTAGAGATCAGTCAAAACACGGCGATAATGAACATGATTGCCATCCCCACCTGCACTCACACACCCAAACACAAAGCATGTCCACAATTACTCATCACCCAAACATTACTGGCCAGCCCGGTGACCCCGACGACCTAGGTGCCATGGCAACCCTGTGACCTATTCGGCAGTTGCCAAGGAGACAACCTTGGAGCACATCTGACCATTGCCCCCTCCCTTCCCCCTTTCTGCTGAGACGAGGCGAGCGATCGATATTCTATCACACAGAACAGTGGAGCGAGAGAGGGAGAGGGGGAAAGGGGGAGAGAGAGAGAGAGAGCGAGAGAGAGATTGGGGGTCTGCATTGAGCAGAAAGATTAAAGCAGGCAGGACAGCTGACAAGGGGAGTGCGTGTGTATGTGTGTGTGTGTGTTTCATAATGAGGAGACATATTTCTGTTATTTTGGAGAGTTGGCTTCAAGGCATGTTTGTAATTCTGTTTTTAGAGGTGTGGTTTTGTGTGTGTGTGTGTGTGTTTGTGAGCCCTCTTCATCATCAAAATGAAACAGCGGCCGAATGTAACCAGGGAATTCATCAAAGACTTTACTGCAGCCCGTCTCCTCCTTTCTCTTTCATATAAAACCACAAACTGTATATATATATATATATAACAGCTTAAATATATAAGCTGTTATAGGCCCTCGGTCTCTATCTGTGTGTGCAGACAGTCTTTAAAAGGGGTGACCCACACCTCTAGGTGATACGTCTGTGAAAAAGCAATTTTACTTTATTTATTTATTTACAGGAAATTTTATCTCAAATTAAATTTATGACCACCTGATATTTTTAAGCGTTATTGAAAAACAACTTCCTCAAAATGATGAATGTTGCTAAAATATTAGGGAGTGATTTCGAGTGAGATGTGTTTAATGTGATTATTGTTGTGATATGATTTTGGGAGAAGCCACCTATATAAATGTCAGAGCGCCGAACTCATAAAAGCTATGAGAAAGAAGGTCATAAACCTGCGAGAGTGAATTAATGATAGTAAAACCATTAACAGACTTGCAGAGTTCACAAAAAAGCCATTACAGAGATAAAAGTTCTCACACTGGTCATGTTAATCGAGCGAGTAGTTGTGATATTTTTATTAGCTGACTGCAATTTACTGGCTGAATCGCACAAAGCCTATCAAGAATGTGCCTAGGTCATATTCCATATTTGAATAAAACAATAATATAAATAAATTAATACATATAAAGTAAAATAATAAAAAAAAATATGATAAATTCTAAGATATTATAAAATACAATTAACTGTCTGAATCACACAAAGCCTGTCAATAAAATAAAAATTAAATACATTTTATATTATCAAATTATTTTCATAACATTTAATCAAATTTCTTAACCCCAATTTCTCATGAACATGCTGCAAAATGTATTTTATTTAAATTGTAAAGTATTATAACATATCAGTATTAAAAGTAGTATATCATGGCAGTATTATTGTACATTATTATAGTTTTAATAATAAAAAATAACATTGTGTATGGACAGGATGATTCATTACCTTAATACAGAAATGATTAAACAATGACAACCACTGAGAATAATGTGAATTACAAACTGAAAAGACATCTGGATGCATTCTGGATGATATTCAACTACACCAAAACATGAAATTCACTCCTGTAAAATGATTTCTTGATATTAATAAATTAAAAGTGTTGATTTTGAGCTCAAACACCTGCGAGTGAAGTGTGAATGCATGTTTAGGTGTCCTGAAATTGCAGTAGATTTAAAAATGACATAAAATATTTCATTTGATTTCATGCCAGACATCAGACACAAAAACAAACTGACGCCAAGCTGAGAAAAGAGAGATCCTTCCTTTTTATTTCATTTTTTGCTGTTGTTTCACATATTGGTACATTGCTTCTATTCCATTTTTTTCTGCACTTATTTAAACAATGAAATCAGAGCCAAATCTCTTTTTTCTAGGACACAGAAAGATTGTAATTTCTCTTTTTTTTAACAGGGGAAGAGGGGACACGGGGGCGGATAGAGGAGGGCGGCTTCTTCACATCGTTCACGAACAGACAAACAGACGGGAACAGAGAGACGGACAGAAGGAGCAAGAGCTGGGAGGGAGAGAGAGGGGAGTGCAGGATAAAAGGGGAGGGAGAGGAGGAGTGAGAGAGAGAGAGAGAGAGAGAGAGAGAGAGAGAGAGAAGGGTGGCAGTGTGCTTTGTCATGCCTGAGAAAAATGAAACCAAGCAGCTCTCAGACACACTTCTAACATAAAAAGGTATCGAACAAAAAAAGCTATGAATGTTTAATAAAAACAACACTCAAAAACAACAATGACATAGAAAGGAAAAATGCCGAGAAAGAGAGACAGGCGGGAGTTGGCAGGTACCGGATCGGGGTGAGGAAGGCTGTTTTCCTCTTTTTCCCCAGTAGAGGGCGAGAGCCTTAATGAATTATGATCATTAGGTTATTTGTATTTTTTGATGGTAAAGATGGAGAGGGATGTAGAACAGTAATCTAGCGTGGCAGTGTTTGTACAGGAGTCCCTGTCGACCGTGAAAGAGTCTGAATGCAGCTGCTTGGTTTGGACTTACGTGATGCGTGACATCCATTACAAAAGCCGCGCATTTGTGTGTTTAACAGTATTAGTAAACCTCTATCATACTGGCAGATTCAGCTGTAGTCTTTGGG